GCAGGGCTAAAGTTTTACCATGGGATCCAAACAGGGTTGAAGAGATATGTCCCCTGTTCGCTTGAGTTTATTCAGAACTATTTTTCAGCTATGGAACAGTGATTTTCTCTCACAATATTTTAGCATAAGCTAAATTTCAATATCAGCAAATAGAGCGATGATAGGTAGATGAGAGAGACAAAAGATGTGTGATTGAGCAAAATATTATTCTGTAGAAACTATCTGTTGAGAACGTAGTTTTTATATGTATTGTCTACTTGTATAAAAATCATATATGGTTTCTAGTACTGGGAGTGTCTTATTTTTTATTTTTGCACATCTGAAAAATGAAATAGGATACGAAAATGGCAATCATGCACACCGGCAGCCTGGCACTCGTCTTCGACTCTCCGCCCTTGTTTAGTTGTAGGAATTTGGATTTTGGGGCTACTGTAGTATATTCGTTTTTATTTGGTAAATAGTATTCAAATATGGACTAATTAGGCTTAAAATGTTCGTCTCGTAATTTTCCATCAAACTGTGCAATTAGTTTATCTTTTCGTCTATATTTAATGCTCCATGTATAGGCCGCAAACATTCGATGTGACAGGTACTGTAGTAAATTTTTAGAAGTTAGGGTGAAACTAAACTTGCTGTCCGTAATCGTACCGACACTGACTCTGCTTGTTTTCTTGGCACCAGAGTCGACCTCCACTACTGACTGACGGAGCTGCAGGCGAGCGGTAGGCAGGGCTAAACCGACACCCTAGTGCTAACTCACGTTCTTCACAGCAGTGCTACTATGCTCACGGACCATGGTGATCCTGTACCTAACGAAAGCAAGGTGTCGGCAATCAGCATGTCACCGGTTCCAAAACGAGTGCTATGTGTAACGTTCTGATCCGAGAAGATGACTAAGGTCCATTTTATACGTTGAATGAACCTCACATGTTAATTAACTCTTTTGTGTTTCTGTCCTCACTTTATGTAAAAGGTTCGATCCAGAGTGAACAGCCTCTCGGTCCGTGCTTTTAACTTGTACTAAAGTTCGATCACTACAGTACCACGCAAACTCGGTCCACAGCTGTTCGGTTGGCTGGTTCGTTTCGTTGCTGGTTCGTGAAAAAGTACTGCTGGTTGGTTTATATGAGAGAAAAATAATATTCCGACTAAAAAATTACGATCGTTTACAATAAACCACAACCAAACGAACAGGCTTAAGCTCGCAGCCTGCGGTGCTACAGCATTAGGCCTCGTTCCACTGGATCTCACGCCATGTCAGGTAGATGCATGTCAGCGATCTAATCCTGGCCTCAGACATCTAAAATCGAACATGTGGGAGCCCTGTTTAGGGCAGGCGACTCCGGCTAGGAGCAAACCACTGGCACCGTAAAATGACCCTAAATTATAATTTATCTTGACTTTTCAAAGTGTACATATAAATATATATCATTAGTTATACATGTAGAAATATGCTATGTCTATATATCTATATATAATAAAAATTAATTATCTATAAATATAATTTGGAACTAAGGTGACATAGAGTAGAGTATATTAACACGATGTCGATGCATCCGGAGACCAATACCCAAGCTATCTTCTTCGAACGGCGTACAAAGACAATGCATACATTTATATACACACGGCGATATCCTGATAGGTACACGTACTAATCGATCATCAACGAGGCCTCCTGTTCGTTTGACTTATAAACCGTATTTTTTTAGTTAATAAATAATATTTTTTTCTCACAATAAATTAACCAATAATATTTTCAATCAGCCAAACGAATAGGGCAGATATCCCCAGCCGGTCACAGCCTATTGGGCTGACGTGGTCTGGTCGCCGGCCGCCGGCCGCTCCACGCGCTCGCGAACTCAGCTGCCGCCTACCGGCAATTCACCATGGCATATAGGCGTACTCCTACTTCTGTACGGAGTACTTGTCATGCTTTCAATAGACACTGGTGAGCGCTGACGACTTCAAGTGTGCAACAACAAAGAGTCAAAGGTGCTTCCGCATTTTCCCAAACATTTGCCCATCCATCAAAATTAAAGAAACATTAGTGAACGAAGAGGAAGCTACTGTAGCTGCAAGTAGGTTTGGGATAATCAATCTGGTTCTCTGAACGGCTTTGTGCAGCGACTGACAACGGCAATCACAGGCCGCAGGCAACACATCGCACGCCACTTCTGACCGTTGACGACCGCGCGCGCGCGCGCAGCTAGCGACTGCCAACGGCCGCATTTCTGCCCTCGAAGGCGGCACAGCATCTCCATCGCAAACTCTAACCTGCGTCTGTCACGCTGTAGCGTGACGGCACGACCCCCGTGCCCTCTCTCCTTCCCCTCCCTGCGGCCGGCCACGTTCTGTTACACAACTTCAACAATATTTTTCAGCAAACAAATAATATTTTTTTGAGTAAAATGCACGTCGGGTCTTCAGACTTTTGGGACGTTCCCATCTGGATCCTCAAACTAAAAAAGCGACCACCTAGGTCCCTAATCTGCTGCCGTCGCACACCAACCGTCCAAAACCTGCCACGTCAACACCAGCATCTGATGTGGCCATGCCACGGTGGCACTTGGATGCCGTGGCCACGCCGCAGGGGCAGGTGGTGGGCCTACAGAGGGGCGTCTCGTCCTCCTCCTCCAGCGTTCGTGTTCCTCGCCACGGCGGCCCTCCACGTCGCAACCAGGCCCCGGGCGTCGTCCATCTCCGTGGCTCCCGAACCAGCACCACGGCCGCGACGCCGGCCTCGCGCTCCCGGCCCGGCTGGCTGTCGCCGACACATAATGCCCGTGCCGGGCCATCCCGGCTTCGTCCTCGGTGCGACCTCATGTTCGTGCACCGATTTGCGTCCGGACCCATGGGCCGGCCGCTGCACGCCGTCCGTCGTGCTGCGCGCAGCTCCGCCTCCCCAAGTTGTCCTACCGCACCACGTTCACGTACCTCGACCCAACGTTGTTCCGCCCGTGGCGACGCGGTGGTGGCGGCGGTCTTGAGCTGTCGCTCCACTTCAAGTGCGGCGCGGTGATGCGGCTCTGCCGCCGAGAACTACTTCATGATCGTGGGCGCGCCTCCGTCCCGTGCCGCGATCATCGCGGGCTGTCAGAGAGCGAGTAGCCGCCGCCAACGCCGCGGCCCACGCCCACTCCCCATTCAACAGTCATCGTTGTTGTCGTTTTTTCCCACCGACGCCACCACGCCCGCCTCTCGGCCGTGGCGGAGACCCCGCCACCAAAAGCGTCCTAGCGGACAACAGCGCATCCGGCCGGCGAGCAACGGAGCGAGCGCGGCGCGCGAGCAGCGAGCAGCGATGGTGGCAATGGTGCTCCGTCGATCTTGAACGCCGAGTTTGTCGCTGGCATGGAAGCGGTTGGCAATAGGACGTCGAAGTTCTTGGTCCCGAACAGCTCGCTCATCGTGGAGACGGCCACCGACGATGGCGCGTATGTGCACGCGCGCATCGGATCACGGCCGTGCTCGCATGCGAGAAGAAGTCGCCGAGTTGAGCGGCAGAAAAGAAGCGCCGACCATGGGCGCCATCGGCGACGCGATGCCATGGATCCCATCCTTGAGATGGAGTAGCCACTCCTGCACATGCAAATAAGGAACGAAACAAATACAGTAGTTGGCGGTGGCCACGTCCTCCTCCTCGCCGGCTTCTCCTGCGGTTTCTCCGTGGCGCCGCTCTATCTCCTCCTTGCTCTCGGCGGCAACCACGTCTCCTCTCTCGGCGGCGAGGGCATTGATGATGTCGTACATGACGACGACGGCGTGGTCGTGGTTCACGGAGAGCCTGTGAAGGAGCGCCCCGCGATCACGCGCGCGCGCTTCGCGATGGTCGCCCCGTGCTCGACCGCGCGACAAATCGCGCCGCAGCCCACCACAATGGCACAGCCATAGCATCCAGGTGCCACTGTGGCATGGCCACGTCAAATGCTGGCGCTAGCGTGGCGGGCTTTGGATTGTTGGTGTGCGAAGGCAGTTGATTAAAGACCCAGATGGTCGCTTTTTTAGTTGGAGGACCCAGATAGGAATGTCCCAAAAGTTTGAGGACGCATGGTGCATTTTACTCTATTTTTTACAACATTTTAGCATAAACTAAATTTCAGCGAAACGAACGGGACCAAGAAAAAAAACTGAGAAAGCAGGTAGGGCAAGTGGCGGGGACCGGAGAAACGGAGCCAAGACGAAGGATGTAGCTAGATCGGGGCCGGGGCACCATGACCATGGTAGCGGCAGGGTCAAGTGCTGGCCTTATCGCGCGACGGGTTGCGTTTTAACTTCCTCCCATCTCCACCTCTTCTCTAGAATGTTCACCCCCGACTGCTTTTGCTAGCTAAGCTTACTATTCAGAAATGCAAGTGCACAAGGTGTAGCTTGCACACGTCAAACCCTCTTTAGCGCAGGGGTGACGGCTGCGATAGCTCCCCGCTCGTTAGTCCGAGCCCGAGAGGCGATCGGGAACTCCGGGCCTCCCCGGTCGCTTCTGAACCGTGCAAAGCGAACCCTGGAATCTCGGCCCGTGCACTATAGATTGACGGGAGTCTTTGGGGCCTGTGTAGTGAATCAGCAGAGCTATGGGCCTGCGTTGTCCAGGGCCGCAACGAGGCCCATATCCCCCACCCTTTCCTTACTTTTTGCTTCAAAAAAAATGATGATTTACACATGACTCAACATGACATTATGCAAGTTCCAGTGCACCAATTACAGCAAGGTTTTAAAACAATGCAAATCAAGGATTAGTACTGAACCAGAACGCTGCACCAGCATCACCTAAAGGTTAAATACTGCACAGACAAGAAACGACAGCAAAGAAAAAAAAATTCAAAGATCTTTGTATTCCCTACCTGTGTAAGAATTTACACCGATCAAATCAATGGAGATGACCCTGATACAGAGACCACTCTACCACAAATCACACTAGATGTACACACCGCCAATTCTTTACAGAACATATGGACATGGTGGGGGAAAATTGCAGCTATCGATCCTCCTAGGAAGCTGCCTTCTTAGTCTAGCTCTGCTATGTAGTTAGGCAGCTCACCCTGGCAGAGGTACTCGTCACAGTGCGACGCCGATCCCCAGCCCCTCCGCAGATGGAAGATGTCCTCCGTGAAGGTGGACCCTGATGATCCTATGAATATGTTTGATAGTGCACAGATCGTCTTGTCAAGCATCGCATCAACCTGAATAAGCATATTGTTGTTTAGTAAAGCTGTCACACTCAAGATGAGAACCTACATAAGACCATATATGTACCTGAACATCTCCGCCCATGTGGTTTCGGTGTAGCAAGGCATCCCATTTCTCAGAGCTGTCGTGCTCTGGCCTCTTCACAAGAGGGACTTGTCTGTCGTTGAATACAACCAAGGACTGCAGAAGATTTGTTTCGCTCTCAGCAGCATCGGTAGATAAATATATCACAGGTGCATTAGCCTTCTCAACGATTCGCAGAATGCATTCTGCCGCCTGAGGGATGGGGAAGAAGCAGCTCTCTTTCTTCACATTACTACAAGAACATCAAGAGAAAATTAGTCAATTGTCCCACAATAATATTATCCACAGTGTTAACTGCAAATGATGCACAGACCACAAAGACTTAACTAGCAATTGCACTACACATTCCCCAGAGTATGTGATAAATGTCATGTCCAACCAAGCTAATATCGAAATACCAACAATATTCTTTTATGTGCACTGGGTACTAGTTTCATACCATTACGACACAGTACATAGGCAGCTAATTGTAGCACAAAAATTAAGTCTCCAACAACTGTGCCACCACAAGCAACAGCAAATAACATAATGAATGAGATATCTCTAAGGCATAGATCATTAATCTATCTATATATTTATGTATTCCAACAAATAGGGAAAAATCATTGCAAGTTCATGTCCAACTAAGCTGTATCACCATACAAAGTCCCAAGATTCAGTGCGGAATATCATGTCCAGCTCCAACAAGCTATATCCAAATACCAACAAGATCACTTTGTAGTTGTGATGTACCAGGTACTAGCTTCATGCAGTTGCATACATATAACTTATACATTGGTAGCTAATTATAGTATAATCTTAAGAACATAATAACCGTGCCAGTAAATAACATTCAAGGCATAGATGATATATCTGTATATCTAACATAACAAGGAAAAAATAATAACATATTCAATTCACACCACTCAACCTGATTAAAATAACCAAATAAAACTAGAAATAAGATTTTCTTAGCTTTTGATAAAGCAAATAAAGATGCTTAATAGGTTATGAAACTATGAACCACAGAAGACGGCCCGATTGAGATCAGTTTAAGTTTGATTGGCATGCAAGGTCAGTTATAATTTATTCATGAAATAATTTGACAAACAAGAGATTAAACATACTGACATAGTGACATTCCAGCAATGCATGACTATTGTGTGTAACTACTGCTATTGAAATTTATTTCTTCTTGAGTCACTGTAAGCCATTGATTGCTGAATTGATCTAGTCAAACTTTATTATCGACTTGATAAACCAGTGGCATAGGAAACAAAGAGCAGCTACCAGTTCAAAATTGGGCAGTTATGTTGCTGAGTTTCCTTTTTTGGTCAAGACATGGGACGATCTAAAACCCAAGCCGAGCTACTTGTGAGCTTTGGCGACCCCTTGTGACAAGCAAAAGGTAACTAATAGATGTTTCCATAATGTTATTGATTTTTTGGAATATTGTTATAGATTGTTCAATGTAGCACCACTCTGTTGTCAGTCACAGGCCATAAGCATCAAGATCAGTTCGTCAGAAATGTTCAACCACAATATGACCGTTTAAAAGACCCCATCGAAGAAAATTAAGGACAAAAAATGCCGCGACTAGTTCAGGCATCGTGACAGTACACAACTACGCTTATTTCCAAGGGTCAAACTATTGAATTATTCATGTAACAAGAATGCCTTAACACTTCTCAGCAACTGCACATTATGTAGAATTATCCAAGAAAATAAAGTTAACTTACAAGACCAAGGATAGTGTTTCAATGCAATAGTCAATGCTAGAGCAGATACCATCACTCAACATCACTGGGAATAACTAATGAAAGTAAGCTATGGAATATATTACTCTATCATACAGTTCATATGGTAAATTCATTATTAAGCAGGCACTTCCTCAGTTCCTTGAATAGCTTTATTAACCAAGCACAAAATAGTTTGATCAACTGTGCAGATGTCAGATGCTGACTTGCAGTATATTTTGCTTAGATCTGAGAGAAGCATCTAGAACCAACTCCAACCATTCTTTGTCAGAACAAGTGCCTAGTTTTGTATGTGCATCACAGAAGGAGACACCAATTGCACTGTCCAAAGGAACAGCAATCATGGAATAACCAAAAGAGGATATGACCGTGACTAGCCTAGAATTCCCAAGATGTAACAAAGGATGAAGCCATCTACTACAAGAGCCTATCAAGCATAACCTTATAAAAAGTAAATGCAGCCACTATAATGTTTGTCTCACAAAATTCACAATTCACAAATAGATAATGTTCAGCAGGTTAAAAGATCTTGTGTATCTCACCAGAATTTAAGGAATCCGTGCCGTCGAAAATGCAAAGCAATATAGTTTCCTCCCAAGAAAGTCTGGACGAAGCGTTGAGCAGTGAGCAGTATGAGCCTACTTGGTTGAATCAAAGTCTTGCACTTGTGAGCCAATGGACCACCAGGTTGATTCAGCCACTCATCCTCCACATCAGCATAGAACATGTCGCCAATGGCAAGGACCTCAGCCTCTGTCGAAAACTTTGGTGTAATATCCCCAACAAATCTCTTCTTTGGCTCCTTCAGCTTCACATCCTCTGGCCAGGCTGCCTCAATCTTGCCCAGAGAAATCCCCAGTCCTTTCAGCTTCTTAATATGGTCCTCATCAAGGAAACATGGAGGCGAGGCTGCGTAGCATATGAACTGATCAATGGCCACTTTCTTCTTCTTCTCCACAAACTCCTCATAGGTGATCATAACTTTCCTCCCAATGCAGTCATTAATGTGGTTGATATCAAGCACCCGATCATACGAATAATCCATCTTCTGGCTGGGCACCACCAGGGTACGGCCAAGAAGTGCTGCCATGAACATGTGCTTCTCCAAGCAAATCAAGTGGTTGGACATTTGGCCAGAGATGCAGATGGCTAAGAGGAACCGGTCTTTCTTGGGGTTCCACTCAATGGTCCGCCGGTTGGCCGGCAATTCCCTCTTCCTGCACCCGGCGAAGGGGAGATCGAGATCCAGGCCGTCGTCAGTCGCATTGCCGGACCCGGAGCGGTGCGAGGAGAGGAGCGCCGCTTGGATCTCGCGGTTGATCTTGATCTGGCTCTCGAGCGCGGACTGGAGATCGGAGAGCGAGATGGGGGCGGGGGCAGAGCCTTTGGTGGGGGCAGCGGTGCGATTGAAGAGGCTGAGGAGGCCGGAGCGCTGGGAGCGGAGGAGGTAGAGCGCGTGCAGCTCGGCCTCGCGCATGTGGGAGGCCGCGGGGTCGGCGGCGGGTGCGGCGGAGGGGAGGCGGATGGAGGCCGGCAGGCGGAGGGAGGACGCACCCCCGAAGGAGACGAAGAGGATTAGGAAGAGGAGTGGGAGGGAGACGAAAAGCACGAGGTAGCGGCGGGACCAGAGGACGCGCCCGAGGGAGGCAGCGGAGGAGGGGAGCGCCGGGCGGAGCGCGGCGACGCTGAAGGAGGAGGGCGGCGAGCGGGAGCGGGCGGAGGGGGACGGGGGCTTGGTGTGGTTCTGCGGTACGAAGGTCTCGAGGTCGTCGTCCTCGTCGGAGGCGGACGAGCCGCGGTCCATGGCGGCGGAGGGGGAAGTGTCGGTGGGCAGTGAGCAGCGCGGGAGGGGCCGAGGAGACGTGGAGTGAGGTGGTGACTGGCGAGGAAAAAACGGGTGGGAAAGACGGAGAGGTTGGATGATGGTGACGGTTGAACCAAACGTTTGTTCAAGCCCAAATCTTAGGGAATTCCATCGGACATTAAAAAAGATCACAATTATGTATGGACCACTAAAAAAGTTCAGCAGACTTCAATACCACTGGTTTAACTTGTTTTTTTTCCCATCCATGCTACTGCCGTTGATTGGACTGATGTTAAACTATAGATGTAAAAAGTCGAAAATATCCTTAGGTCTAAATATGTCATTAATTTGTTTAGTATCTTAACGATTTCAAATGAAAAAACTCAAAACTAGAAAGTTATAGATCTTATCGAGATCTATAATTTTCATATAAAAATTATCTTTATTTAATTTTTTTTTTAAAAATAACTTGATATGATTAATATATCTTAGAAAAATCATATCTTTTTTATTAAATGAAGATAATTTTTATATAAAAATTATAAATCTCGACGAGATCTACAACTTTCTAGTTTTAAGTTTTTTTTATTTGAAGTCGTTAAGATGTTCAAAAAATTAATGATATATTTAGACTTAAGAGTATTTTTGACTTTTCATATCTACAGTTTGCCGTTACGACCTTTATCGATGGCTCACGAGAAATTTTTCCAAGGAGAGAAGACTCTTCAAGCCTCATCTCTATTTAACTCTGGTGGGAAAAAAAATGTTCTGATCAAATAATCCATGGTGGAGGTGGAATTTCGGGTCAATAGTAAGCGTCGGAGTTGGATTGGTTCTTGGCGCAAAAGCAAGAGCAAAGATCATCTCTGTCCGTTTCCTAGCTTTGGTGACCCGCAGAACAGGAGGTGTAGAAAGGGGGAAACAAGGGTTAGGTGGCAGAGGAGGCAGTGAAATCCAGCCAAATCTCTTGTGGAGGCAATTTTTCTTGCCGATTGCTGGTGCGTAAGATCCTAGCTGAATCCGTAGAACGGGCGCTAATCGGAGGAACTTGCATCGACTCTTGCGTGCTGACAGCAAGATAAGAGGTGAGTTCTCCTGTAATAGCTAGTCAAATCGTCGGAATTCAATCGATCTCCTCCTCGGCTCAACCATGGTTGTTTCGCTGGTGCTTGACGATTTGCAGGGACGTTGTTTGTGGAATTGCCTCCTTGGAGGCGGCTGGCGAGAGGGGGCAAGGATGACGATGACGATGCCATGGGGGCTCGCGGCCTGCATCGTGGACATGGTATGGGCGGTGCTCGCCGGCTGGGTGTCCACCTGCCTGGTCATCGCCAACGAGGTCGCCCGCGGCATGCGCAGTGGCGAGATCGGCCCATTCGTTGTCGGCTGAGTTATTCGACCGGCTTAGGTGGTTCATTCGTTCCTGCATTTTAGGTCAGTGATCAGGTCAGGTCTTCCTTAACCTTACCTCTGAATTGAGAAGATTAGCAAACTAGCAGATCATTCAGACTTTTTTAAACCTTTTTCTTGCGCAAGTTTGTGCAATGGAGGAATGTGCATGTTTTTGTTCACAGCTCTTCTGTTTTTTAGCCTGACATTAGAAATGTTTTTGTTAGTTGGGATTACCATTTAGTACGAATATAGTACTTAAAGAGGGAGAGGAAATGTTAATGGTGGAATGTTACATTTCTCTTTAGGTTCAGCTGAATGAGAGATCATGATTTTCTTCCCCAAAGAAACAAAGATAACGGAAATAGATGCCATGATCATGTACTGTCGTAGTGTCATTTGTCATACGGGAATGCTACTTACATGATTTTTGGGTATTCCTTTACTCGTGATCAGGTGTGGTTCATGAGGACAAAATAAAATTGTACAGTTAGGGAATCCTCTATTCATCGTATTGTCAGTTATTCTTGTTTATCGCCAAATCCAATTGATGGGAATTAACCTTTGTGTTGGTAATGAAGTGTCCAAATTATTTACCGAAGCTAATATTAGTTAGCTACTACGCTTCCGAGGCTAAAGAACACCATATTTTGTTTCCTCAAAAAAAAAACATAAGTATTGCTTTCAGTGTAAGGACTGGGACAGTATCACCTCTACATGCGCAGTGTGTTTATTGAATCTCTTGCATCCTGATTCACCTCTGATTTCCAGTGGAAGTAGCTGAAATCGCTACTCCTGGTTATAAACTAGTTTCAACATATGTGCTGCGACAATCTTTACATTTCAGACAGTGCAATTGTGCATTTGATGGTTTCTGCCACAGTCCAGTGGTTGTATAAAAGATGACTCTTATAGCTTGAGCATTCTTTCACGGCCAATTCATTTCACTGTGCTGTTTTCAAGGCAATAAACACGAAGGCACTATACTATGTTTCTTTCTCCTTGTTGCTTCTAAGTCTTCTTATGACTTTATCAAATGATCTATCTCTTGTTGCAGATAGTGTATTTTTCGTCCCAGTACATTTCATACACAGCATTATACCGTACAGAGAACACAGATTGGATGGCTTCGGACTTAAGAACTGGAGGATGACTTTCTTTTGTTTCTAGGATTTTTCATTGTGAATTGTGATCATCTTGCAAGTGTTTGTGCAATCACACAAGAACATGTGATGTACTTTGAGTGGTATACGTCAAGAGATTGTCCTGTAAAATAATTCAAAATTGAATTGGCATATTTAATATTTTTCTGTTCTTGAAAATGGTCTGGGGACTCCAGTTTCTACTGATGTGAGCATCTTTTTCTGAAATCCCGACACTGGCTCCAATTCTGCTAGCCATTGTACTGCAACCTAACACCATGCGCTCTGCATTCCCACGAACTGTTTCTGAAGAAGACACTACATATAAAACGCCTATCTGAACTCTGAAAGAACATCGATTCAGAAATTGGAAAATTGGAAAAGATGGAATTCCAAAAGCCTAAGTAATTGATTCATGTCGATGAACAATATGAACTTGGGTTAAAAAAAACAAACAAAGAATGATCCATGCTTTTAGGTCCATTTTGGTAGGAACTGCAAGATTTCATAAATCGTCTTTCATTTCAGTCATCAAATAGTCGTTTCAAGCCAACTGTTGAAGCTATGTTCAATGAATCTGACAAGTAACTTCGTAGCCAGATGGATCATAGAAAATGTGCACTAATCTGTTTACGCAGGTTTATTCAGCTATAAACCCCAACTAAGAAACTCACGTGCTTGAAGAACAGGCTCAGATGATCAATCAACAAAAGGGGGGAAAAAACTAAACACCTTGAGATGTTAACCATGCTACGGATGAAAACGGATCGAATAAAAACGGATATCACTGATATTACATTTGTTTTTGTATTTCTGTCTGAATTTGGATTTAAATACGGATAGTGTCAACCATGCCGGATAGTATATGATTAAATATCGACATTATAAATATGTGATTTAAGTATTCGGATACGATATCGGATGTTGAATATCCAGACTCGGATACTGATAGATCTGAACCCTTCTAAACGGATTCGGTCTCCATCGGAAAATATCCATATTGTTTTCACCCTACTTCAAAGTGACAAAACTTTAAAAAACTGTGACATCACAACAACACTGTATTATAAGAAACATAGCCCATTTCTACACAATATCGAGATTTCCATACAATACAGGTTTCAAGATACAGCAACAATCTGCTAGCTCATTTCAGGGCACAACCGTTGCGCACATTTTTCTGTTCTGCTAGCAGGCAACATCACTCATTCACTCTCGTCTTCGGCTTTTGTGATCGTGGTGATGGCGATGTTTGTATTTCTTCTTGTCCTTTTCCTTCTTTTTCTCTCTCTTATCTTTTTTCTCCGACTTCTTTTTCTTTTCCTTTTTACTCAGTGGTTCAGAGCTTGATGCCCTTCCATCCAAAGTATCCTTATGCCAATGACCATCAGGAGACTTGGATCTCAAAAATGAATCCTTCTCTGGGCCTTGTACTCGGCGTTCCCATTTTTCTTCCACACGTATGTCAGGACTAGGTACGTTGTCCTGATGACGGGGCAAAGAATCAAGATATGGACCAGGCTCGTCCATCCTAGAACCAATGGCCCCACGTCCTCGCTTCACCCTAACAGAACAACAACAATAAACATGTCAGCAACAATATGCTGATAGGTAACACAAGGAAAATAGTTAACAGACAGAAACGTTTGCAGCATAAATAAATTTAAATATACCACATAATAGGATACCAGCACTCATCAACAGATAATGTGGCATTATCAAAGAGATACACAGATTGCGTGATTTTTCATATAAGAACAGAGTAAAATTAATAATTTAGTTATATTATATGACAGGTGTTACATCATGAAAGAAATGGATATTTCTCGCATAGAAGAAAATAAATGAATATTCTAACTGACCTTGAATGAAGAAATCTTTCAATCTCATCATCCCTGAGACCATCCTCCTGGTCTGAGTAAGATTTATTATAAGTGGTCCCTTCTTGTTCAACCCTTGAGCTGGAGCTATGGTTTCTCAATTCACTTTTGCGCTTCTCGCCTCTAAAATCATCAAGGTCGTTACTTCTGCTACTTCTGCTTTTCATCTTTGACTCCAACTCCAGTTCCTTTTCCCTGGCACGCCACATTTCATTGACCTCTACAACACGGTTTGCTGCAGGACAAACAGCATATTTCAACTAAGAACAATGTCGAACATGCTACTTGATGTCATTAAAAAATTAGTGAATAGGGCCAGTATACTTTTTGCCCAAGAACATAAGGTCAATATAATACAGGAGCCCAGTTCAATTTTTTTTATGTGACTAAAGTGTTCTTTTCTAAGTTGATAACTCATGTCATTAAAAACTGGTGACGTGGATCCAGATGGCCAGTATACTTTCTTCCCCAAGATCGGAAGGTCACTATACTCACAAGAGCCAAGTTCATTTTTTACAGGATTACATGACTCAATTGTTTTTTCTAATGTTGATTTGTTCCACAGGACCTCCTCCAAAAACATAGAAAATATATAAAAAGAGTGACAACAATGATTCAATAAACTAAAAATACAGCTGCACAATGCTGACCTTGCTGAACTCCGTGAACTGTGGCTGTGAGGAACCGTGAGTTTGGACGATGCCTAACATTAGGTTTTCGAAGATATGCATGAACACCTTCCTTATCAGCCTCTAACTGCAATCTCCGCGCCTCTTCAATTAGCAAAGAAGCAAGACGATTCTCTGTCCCCAGATCCATCGTCTAACTCCAAGTTCAACAACTGGCAATCCAGAAATTAAATATTTAGTAATTCGAAAAATAAGATAACATCAAAAGCAATAACCAAAAAATTAATGGCACATTACTCCATTAATGTTTGTTAGAGCGGAAACAAGGAACTTCTAGATTTCATCATATATAATCAATAACAATGTCTTGATCTCTATTATTTTGCTCAGGCATAGGGGTAATGTGGCCACGTCGCTAGGACAATAAAAGAATGTATTTCTATAGCATAAAGCCAACTAATTTGTATACTATGCAAAAGTATTAGATAGCATTCAGTCATTATCAAGGTGCAAAGGTGTAGGATTCAAACAGTCTCGGCAATAGTAGTTGCAAAGGAACAGTACAGGATATTTTTTGGTGTGAGCTAGGTCGGTTATCAGTTTACGTACTAATGTGAACACCACAAATATGACTTTACTAATGATCGAAACATACATGGGATCCAGTACATGTCACCCAAAAATAAATATAACATGAAAACTAAAAAATAGACATTCCTAAAACAGTTCATAATGAGCAATTATAGAATACAAAGTGCCCCTTATATCTATGCTATCCATCCCGATAAAATAACTTATTAAAGCATTACCAGCCAAAAAGATCCTCTAAAACTGTGCATCAATGAGTCAAGAATGAAAGTACCAAATGTAGTTGAGTATTTCTTAAGAAATAATGCTTAAATAAGAAACCTAGGGAAAACACAAAGTTTTACTAGTTTCATAAAGATCAGAGATGCAGTTGCATTGTTTGAACATAAAAAATACAATGTTACCACCATGGCATGACTTAATGTGGCATAGGGTTGAATTTGAGATTCCAAATTTTGGGAAATAACTAATACCAGTGGTGCAAGTTTGAGACAAAAGAACAGTTGTGATCAAGCAATGCATGGGAGGATGGGTGAATTAATAAGCAAACTGTCACGAAATGTCAACAGACATGGAGAACTACACACATTCCACCCAACATAAACTAAATTCTTGCATTTGGGAATAAAACTTAAACTAATTCTTTCAGACTTTTGACGATGTACCAAACTAGTAAACATCAGTGCCCATAGAGCATGTCTATCCTATATGTAAGATGATGGTGCACCGCAAGAACAATACGTAACCAAGAGCACAGCAAGCCGTGGGGATCCAGTTGAACCCCAAATTTTAATTTATCCGCAAGAATTTATTATGTTTGTATCCACGCAGTAAAGAAACACGCAACAAATTGTGCGGACTATAGCAGAAAAGATCTGGATTCGATTCCTCAGAGGTCCCAGCATAAAAAGATCCGAAAACAGGACGCACGATCCGTCGAAGCAACCAAACCAAATTAGGGTTCCTTGGTCCTTACCAGATGGAGATGGAGAAGAAACCGATCCAAACCCCCGGACGGATCCCCTCGCCGCGCCGATCCACTGGCACGAAGGAGGCGAAGACGACTAGGACGAGACGAGGACGCCCGCGATAGAGGAATCGCTTCGATTGTCGACAGCCAGGCGTCGCGTTCCGCTCCAACGGAAGGAGCGGAAGCACCCTCGGCCAGGGAGGCTGCTCGAGGGGAGGGGGGCGAGCGGGCTGAGGAGGGGAGGATGGAGCGCGCGCGTTCTTTCTCGCCGCTGCGGCGCTGCGGGGGAGGGGATAGGGGTCGAAGAGGACTTCGTTGGGTACAGGCGTAGCGGGCCCAGTCCTGCGGGCGCGGACGGCGGCGCTAGGCGCGCGAAGGAGGCGCGCGGTGAGCCGGAGAGGAGAACGAGGATAGGTTCTCTTTCTTTCCTGTTTGGTCCCCAAATATAAGGTCCTGTAATCCGTTTTTCCAGCTTTCTTTTTTCCGGTGGGAAGAACGTTTTTCTCTACCAACACATCAGACAGAATAGTATTTTAATTTGTTTTTTCAGCGAAACAAACGGCTCAACAAATCTCGAAAAGTTGACTTTATTCTTTGAATAGTTAGATTAAAAAATACTACAAGCTTATAAAAAAGAAGTATATCAAGGTTCGTTTGCTTGACCAGCTTCACAAGGTGGTGTTGCCAAACCTTGAAGCCCTAAGCAACCGTGTAAATGATATTCTCTGTTCGGCTCTTCATAAAGCCACTTGTATTGATTTATACGGCTAATTTGTTGGAAGAGAAAAATATTGTACTATAAGCCAGCTTATATGAACAGCCGAACAACCCCATTAGGTCTTGTTTGGATTTATAGATTGATTAATCTGTATTTCATAAACATAAACAGACAGATTAACTGTTAGTCTACTTAGCTACGAATTAGTTGTTAGTCCATTAATCTACATGTAAGAGCTAATAGTATTAGTTGTTAGTTCTAGTTTATCTAAACAAACTCTTAGTTGCATAATTGTTTGGAAGTCAAAAAGAATATTGTTTTTCCTATTTCAAAAGTGCCACAACCTCACCGACCATCGTCCTATTCGTTTAGGCTTGTTTAGCTGATAAGCCATGGCTGAAAGTACGGTTGGCTGATTTGATACGAGAGAAAAATACTGTTCGTTGGCTGAAAAAATACGGCTTATAAGCCAAACAAGCCCAAGCAAACAGAGCGCATGAAAGAAATGTCAAAAATAGAAGATTGTATACAGAGCTAATGGCGGCCGCCGTTCATAGGATACCATGCATAGAAAACGTGCGCTCACCAATATGTATGGCATGTTTGGTATGGCTTTGGTTTCAGTTTCAACATCAATTTATGTGAATGAGCCCTAGGAACCGTTTTTTATGAACGATAATGCTTTGTTTAGGGTATTCGGATGCCCCGTTCTTATCCGGATGCATCGAACCATTCACACACACAAAAAGCACTCTGCACGCTCCGCTCGCCTCGCTCCGCCGTGGAGCTCGCTCCTGTCCACGCTGCGCGTCCTTGCTTGTGCAGATTCGTCCTGGGCGTTGTAGTGGATCAACAGCGCTGAGGCACAGGGCCACGCTATCGTCTTTTTGCCAAGTTCTTCGGCCGCGCCGACCTTATCTCCTTCCTCATCGCCACCCCCGAGCCGCAGCGTCCAGGTAGGCATGTCGCGGCCGACCCCACCGTGGTAGGGCACCTCCATCCGATGCCTCTATCACGTCGGGTGCCTCCACCACATCGGGGGGCTGCCATCTGCTGCCGCGGCTGCCTCAACCACGTCAGTTCGCCGCGCCGCCCGTTGCACTGGAAACGTGAAACATATGTTTCAGATATTTTAGAGGTATGTTACAAGTGTTTCATATGGATGTTGCAAAAATAGATCGAGATATTGCATATGTTACAATGGTTTGTCTACCTATGTTGTAAGCGTCTGTTCATAATGTTTTATCTGTTTTCAGACGAATGTTGCAAGTGTGTTTATCTGGATATTGCATATGTTTCATACATATGTTGCAAATGTTTTATATGGATGTTGCGTATGAGTTGCAATGGTTTTTCAAGTATTTTTTAAGTGTTTCAGACGCATGTTTTAAGTGTTTTATGTCTTTTTTTTCATGTTTCAAGTATTGCATCTGCATGTTAAAAAAGTAGACTAGGTGTTGCATATGGGATACACGTGATAAGCAGGAGGGGGCATAAGCGGTCCCCACGCGAGCGCGCGGCGCGGGCCTCGCGTGGGCGCGCGAAACTCAGGCGTGGGCGAACGATGTTCGAGCGGTGCGGGCCCTCATGTGGATGCGCGAAACAAAGGTGTGGAAACGGACTGCAGCTGCGGGCTTCCGGCCGAACACATAGACGCTAGCTGTGCCGCTTTATGAATAGCAGAGGAAAGGAGGAAAAAAAACTGAGGACTCTTGACAAGTGAACCGTGAGCTCATGGGGATCATTTTGGATTTTTGAGCTCGATCCATCCAAAAAAATCCGGCCTGAGATTTAAACTTATCAAATCACCTAAAAAATTACCTTTCGTTTGGCTCATGGCTGACAATATCCCAGCTTATTTTGCGGGGGGAGAAAAATACTGTTCGTCTATGAAAAAAAAAAGTACGGAGCGAACGGGGCGTATCCGGAAACGCCTCGCCCACACATCCATCAGCAACGGTAAAGCCGCCGCGGCGATGTCTTCCGCACCCCAGCCTCCGCCGTCGCTGAACCCCGACGCGCCCCCGCGCGTCGTCCGCGCGCCCGGCCCGCCGCCGTGAGCGGAGCGTCGGCCTGCCGTGTCCGTCGACCTCGACCGCGGCCGTCGCTGGGTCCGCACCGAGGTGGACGGCGTCCGCGCCGCGTCGCTCCCTGCGCGGCACCGCCTCCTCTTGGAGGGAACCGGTGGCAGCGGGACTGGAAGGTGTCCGAGGTCGCCGCGCGCGTGCTCGCGCTGCCTCCTGCCGACGCTCACGCCGTCGACGTCATGCTCAACTGCTGGGCCGGTCGCTTCGCACGCCGCTATTTCCCGCTGCTCATCCGCGTAAAGCCCCATTCTCTCCCTTTTTTTCTGCACGCCTGCTTGCTATACCTGATACATGGTCGACGAAATGGCTGTTGGTGCTGATGCTACTATTAGCCAGTAGTGTGGCATTCAAATGGGCAAATGCTTCAGAGGAGCAGTACGGGGTGAACTTTTAGTGCAGCATCTATTTCACTTAGTTAGTGCTGAGTTCTAGTTGGTATTGATGGTAACAAGTTCATTCTCAGTTGAGCATATGATCATTTTCGCTATGCAATGATTATAAATTTACAATCACCACTTTTGTTTGTTGCTAACATGCTATTAGATAATCAATTTACCGTAATTGTGCAAGTATTCTGTAGCAACCATCTTTGGTGCTTTATATAAGGATTAAACTACGGTCTACGGTAGCTCTGCATCTATTTGCAGGTGGCATCGGCAACTCTGCTGATATTTTGTTTTGTCTATGGATTTCATAATTGTGCACACTAGTTCCATTTACATTGCAGTGTTTGTTGCTATGTTTCTCATATGGACATTTACAACTTTGATGTTCACTATCAATATGTCTCTAAAGCTACGGTTTTCTCAATCAGTTCAGAAAATCTAGTTGTTCTCGCAATAGTCAGTTGTCGCCATATTTTTTGTGGGCGTGTTATTAGAGACTGTATTATAGAACACCTTAGGTAATGCCCGGGGGTGGTCTTACACCTTGCAGGTCAACTTTGATGTTCACTATCAATTTGCAGTTTTAGAAAGTGAGCTTCTGCACCAATAACTATTATCATCTAGATCATGTCATGCTTTTATCTTGTTTTCATGGATACTAGATGCGAGTAATTTGATGTTCTATTTTCTGTTATATTTCTTTTGAAAGATTACTAGTCCTGGTAATTTAACTAGTGGGAGTGTGGGACTTTTACTGGTTGGCAACAGGCTACGGGACTGGAAAACAGCAAGTCAAATAATCGAACATTTGGATTCCTCTCTCATCGATTTCTTTTGGCACACTAAACCATATTTTAAATTTTCTTGGAAAATGTGGCAGGACAGAGAGCATGATGAAGGTATAATTTCTCCCCTTAAGAAGGTGCTATTGTGTAACATCTTTTTTTATAATTTCCAATTTCCAACTAAGACAATGTCATGGAAATAACTACCTTGTTATCATTTATTTTCATTACCCAGTTACCTGGCAGAAACTGCTCTGGCACCATAATGTTTTTCTGCAAACTAAGAATCATTTGATATCAACATCAGAAATTCCGATAGACTCCTTGTTTCAGATTAATTACTACTTCTGTCTATGTTAATCTTCCTTAAATGTTACTGTATTGGTTTCTTAATGGCACCATTGTGCAACAGCAAGATATAGCCTCCATGCATAACCTATATATTGCTGTTCTCTACCAAATAATTGATTTTTACATTAAGAATAATACTTCCATCTTTACTAGTTTTGAATAATCACTGTTTCTTTTGTGAATATGCTTGAGGAACACACCGACTTGTTCATAAGACTTGTGGAAAAAACTATTTGAGTAGTGGTGCTTTGTCTGTTGGTCATGCATTTCCTGTTACTGCTTCTCCTTGGACTCTTTGAAGGGTGATACTTATTGTTATGATTTTCTATCATGCAGCTGTTCTATAAGATGGTGACTTCATGATCTACTGTGGGCCTTTCTACTTATACGATTCTGCTGAGAAATCTCTTAGTTGTGGGGAAATGGAGAAAGTATGTTGAGGTACATGGGGCCTATCAGTAGGCAGCTATACTATCTCATTTGAATAAGAGTTGATGAGTCCTTCATCAAATATTTCCTTAAAAAAAGAGAATTATATTTGCTAGATTCCATTTGCAACTTGCTAAATTGTGATAAGATGTTGGTGTATTAAAGATCTGCATTATTTCTTTTAAACCAGAATGTCATACGTTTTCTTTTTTTCCATTTGACATCTTTTGTCTTGTTCTTTGTTGTGAAGCGCTATGACCTGTTAGAAAATTTTGAAATATGGTAAATTATTCATTCAACCTTCTGCCTCCAGCAAACTGTAACATAAGCATTTTAAGCTAGGAGTTGATTAGTATTTGACTCAAAATATGTATGAAACAGGGGAAAGGATGGACGATAGTTTACAGGTGTCCAACTTAATCTCTTCTCTAATTATTGTCTTTGTTTGGTCCATGTAGGTTTTGCAGTGGATGGAAGATGCTGGAATCTGTCCAACACTGTATATGTATCAAAGTGTGCTTCCATATATCTGGAGAGACAACAGTATGGACTATGTTACTCTCATGCAAGAAAAAATAAGTATGACACTTCCCAATCTAATCATTGTTTGCATGAAAAGCATGTTATTGTTCTTTGATCTAATAATATCTTTAAATATTTTTATATTTATTTGTATTCATTATTGCCCTCGTTAAATCTACAATGTCCAATTTGGGGACTTTGGTGCATTTCATCTCATGTTTTGAAATTTCTTGAACTAAGCTTCTGCGAAACGCAATTACTGTATTTTGTTGACCGTCATAGTTCAATTACTGTTCTTCTTAGGCCTTTGCATCTTGATGTTCTAATTTATTTCATATTATTAATTCATTTTTTTCTGGGTAGTATTATTTTTCATAGAACTATTTTAAATCAAATTAGTATTATAATATGATATTATACTGATATAAAATCAGGAGGAAACAAGATGCAACATGCAACTACTTCAATTAATTCATGTAATAAAGAAACAAAAAACATATATTTAATTACCAAATTACTCTTATGACAAACTAGAGCGAGATATAAAAACAAACAATGTGATTTCCAAAGTCCTTTGAATCTTCCGTTGTATCGTATGCTCCTTCAATGTCTGTGAACGTATGAACCTGAACCAATGGATTTTAAAGGTTTGTTTTACTTTGCTATGTTGCCTGTCATGCCTTTTGTTTTTGTTTTACTTTACAGGGTAGTGAAAACCTCGTTTGATGCAACATACATGTATGATGGATTAAAGTGACTTTTATTGATCAATTCATCTTTAGTCCTTATTCTATATGCTCTTCAGTATTCTCTTTTCTGTTTCCATTTCTCCATGTGATTATGGGAGCATTGCATGTTTTGCATCATGTTTTCCTGTATGACCCATTTTAGCTTGCTCATTCCAGATGCATTGAGAGAGAAGGTAACATGAGCCTCAGATATGCATTTGCTTGCTTCAGAATGACACTGGCAGCATTCAGGTAGGACATGATTGTGAGTCTGCCCTAGTTGGGATTGAAGCAACTAATTCCTCTTCAGAAAAGAATGGATATGGTAAGACTTTTCTAATATAAAAGAGTTCACAAATATTCCCTGTTTCTTGTTATAAGCTGTTGCCTTACCAATGGACTTCTTAGGGACTTCAAGAACTGAAGAAACGGACATGTTTCTACAATTGATAAAAGGTTGTCACATGTGAAAAGGATAGCCTCATGAATCATTTGCTATGGCTTCTAATGATCACAGAATTTGGCCCATTTGTTGCTCGTATAGCTTGGCTCAGAAAAAAACCATGTTACTCTTGTAGTTCGAAGTCTTCTTTTTTCCACTGAAGAGTTTAGATTCTTCATTCTTGTATAAGTCACTGTGACAGCAGTTCTACGACATTGTAATTTATCAATGCCTTCGAAGCAAGCAGTTTTCCCATCTAGTGTCATATTGTCTCGAGAATAATTCTGCTGTAAATAATGAAACATAGACCATAACTGGGACACTGAGGCTTTTCGTGAAAAAAAGGGAGAGATGGTCATATGAACTAATACGTGTAATATTATGATATATAAGCAAGTCTAAGCAGGGTTCCTGATGGCATACATGATACTTAGCGCATGGTGAGTATCAAGAGTCAAACACATGCTTATACGGAGTACTTAATTGTAACTATTTTGCAATGATTTTGGGAGTTATCAAAGATTGAGACCTTGAATACATTTTGCTAAATAGTTAGGCTATGCCGAAAATTCTACTGGCCACCCATCGCCTTCCCTTCTGGTCCGTTAACGCGAGTGGTGCACACTTAGGGAATCAGCAGATGTCCATATATGGCCCTGAGTCCCTGTTGTGCGTTGTCGGTACTCGCTAGGTGGTGGTGCGCACGTTGGGCATGAATACACGTGGTTTGTGTGTCCACCAACCACAACCATGGGGCCAAAACCAAGAGAGAGAGACAGAGGGGAGATGATGTGGAATTGTTGGAGTGGAAGGAAGGAAGGTTAGTGAGTGACTGAGTGTGGAATTGTTGCCTTGTTGCATTCCAGAGGTAGCTAACGCGACGCGGCCACTCAGAACGCCTGTTGTGCTTCGCCACCGAAACGTTGCGGTTGCGGGTTATCAACCTGCCGACCGAGCCCGGCTTTGAGATGGCCTGCCCCTGAACGTAACGCCCGAAACGAGGCGAGGCTTTCATTTCCCCTGTTCGTGTCGGCTAGATCGGCTGGGCTCCCCGCGGCGGGCACGACGCGCCCGTCACGCGACGGCGAAGTGGCGGCAACTATAGCAAGCGACGTTGACAAACGAACGATTTGATGGCGCGGCGCGGGGGATGGAAAGCCACCCGCCAGCCACCGGACGGGATGGATCATGGAATCATGGATCCCTGATCCCTCCGCTGCCCGGGCGGCTCTGTCGCCGGCCGGCCCACACGTGTGCTCCCGGAGGTCAACCACCACCCATGCCTGGCGCTGCGGTGCTGCTGTGCACGCCAACCACGCGACGCTTGCAACTCGTGACAACGACCCTTTTAAAAAAACTTCCATCACTCGTCGCTGTACTAGTGCTGCGTGCGTAGTACTCTGTATATACACTTTTTTTTTTTTGCTCTTTGCCTTTTGTATTTACAAGCTAGGTAGAGAGAGGCACACGCGGCCCATTGACTGATCACCAACCGTGCCGTTCCTTTTCCAAAAACAAAAGCAAAGGAGAAAGGAAAAGGAAAAAAATCGCTCGCGGTGTCGGTGAGGGACGGACGCCTGCTCTGCATCTGCTCTGCTGGAGGACGACGGGGCAGGATGAATCAAGGTGCTCATCTCCTGCGCACACCATCTCCATGGATGGATCAAATAAAGGAAACTCTTTCTTTTTTCAACCGCCGATCGTATCGTATCACGGCTGAAGAAGAAGGTGAACTACCGCCACTGGTCATCTTTATGTACATACACCGTAACACCGACAGTTTCGTTGTGTCGGTCGGAACGATCAGTCGCCTGCTGATGCTCTGGCGGCTTGCCGCAGCCGCCGTCGGTACGTTACTGCGCCGTGCTCGACGGGGTGGACGCGGCGGCCGGAGCCCGGTGTGGTCGGAGGGAGTCAGTGCTTGAGGCGCAGCGGCGGCGGGTGGGAGTGGGACGACTCGACGAGGATGGACCAGAGGATCTGCACGTCCTCGCAGGGGCACGACTTGACGTCCTCGTACAGGATGTAGATGCCCCTCTCTGCTCATCAATCACCACACAGCAGAGAACATATCAGAACGACAGAACATGGATTGGATTGCATGCAATCGATCGGCGATCAAAGCACGAGCACTAGAACAGGAACGACAGAAGGAGCCGGGAGACGACTGGTGGCACGTACTCTTGTTCTGCGCGGAATGCATGCGTATCCAGAGCTTCTTGAGCGGCGACAAGAGCGACCGCATCCACGCCATGGCCGGCCGGTCTCTGTCGTCCCAGACTCTCCGATCCGAACCCAAGCCGTCGGACGCCGATCAGCCCAGCAGCTGGAATAGGCGAGGAGCAACGCCGCGATCGCCCTGGTTGCTTTGCTTGCTTGGACTGTTCTTTCCTATCCTACCGCCGACCGCGCCTCCGCTCTTAATAATCACCGGGAGCGGGGAGGTGAGGAGCGCTTTAAAACTCCCGGTGCCGCGTCGCTGTCCGTCCATATCTCCCCCCACGAATAAACAAGCAGGCGTCTGCCAGGTTCCGCGCTAGGCGCGCTGCGCTCGAGAAAACTAAAGGCCGGCCTCCTCGCGACGCAAACGGAAGGGGGGAAATATCATCTCCGTCTTAGGTCATCACAGATAAATCTTTATGGTGCCCCTGGTCTACCGCGTCATCACCACCAACAAAGAGCCACGTTGTTCATCCGCCGACCGATCGATGGCCGTCTGCCTGCTTCTTCTTTAATTAATTAATTTTCGACGCGAGGGAGAGGGAGCACTGCCGCACTGGTCATAAACATTTCTTTGTGGAGCAAACATAAGTCATGAGTATCGTATGAGCTATATATATTGAGCTACGTGCTCAAATTCAGTAACAGCCGCGTTTCTGTCGGCATGCGGTGTTCAGCAATCGTTTGTGGACTTCTGATCCGTCGGCATGCTCAGATATATACGTTCAGGTGGACAGATGGTCAACAACACTAGCTCTAGTTCCTATGTCAAGAACAGCTCCAGCTGATCTTTCAAATCAAAAACAAAAGAAAAAGAACAGCTCCAGCTGCTGTTTGTAACATGTAAGAACTAGTTCTTTCTTCTTCATCAGGGGCATAAATAGTCAGCTCTTTGGGTCTTTGTCAGAGCACTAGATATGTTTTCAGCTCCAGCAGGTGATCTTCCCACAAACCCTCAAAAAGTTCAAATCAAAGAAAAAAGCATGAACAGCTCCAGCTGCTGCCTGTTTGTAACCGGCGAGGTCGACTGTAAGAGTACCGATTCTTTCGGGTGCGGCGTCGACCAATCAGCCATGACGGCCATTCTTCATGGTGCAAGCTCTCTTCATCATGGGACGCATCAATAGCAACAACAACTCCCTAGTCAGATGAGCTCTTTGGGTCTTTGTCATATATATGATGGCATGGAAGTCACTAGATATGTTTTCCACGTGGACTTAATGAACATGGTACACTTTCCAAGTGTCGAAACAAGACAAAACAAAAACAAAACCCTCGCAATCACAAACAAAGCACGTCGGGCGTAATCTCCGTCGCAATCACAAACATAATGGCACGTGCCTCTCAGGCATGGGCGGATCAACGATGGGGAATTCCCATACCGGAGCTGTGGAAAATACCGTCGGTGAACACAAATTCATGCCTAACGGCGCGGTCATTATCTGTGATGAAAGCCGACCACTGTGAACAGTCCCCTAAAATATTTCCACCGCTGCCTACAGGTCCGCCGTCCGGCGCGCGCGCACGTCCATCGAAATGCGAAACGGGACCAAACAAACAGGGCTCAGCGTCGTCAGTTGGAACATCCCCATTCCGGCACGAGTCAAACGCAAACAGGAGAGCTTTCCCTTCCCACCCCATCCCATCCCACAGAGACGAACGACAACGACCGAGCACACCACAAGGAAGAAGAAGGAAGCGTACGAAATGGTGCGTGCGTAGGCACTGCTGCGACCGCGATGGTTTCAGTATCTGAGGCGATGGCGAGAGCCAAGCTAACCGGGCGGGTCCCTGTGTTCGCGGCGGTTGCCTCCTCGCTTTCCTTCCCTCGCTTCGCTGAGGCCTGAGCCCTGAGCCCTGAGGGAGACGCTGACACGCTTATTCAGGGACGGGACCAGCCGACGGCCTGCAGATCTCAATATGGATGGATGGAGCCCATGAAAGGCATCAGTGGAATGCCAAGTCAATCTCCGGCCCTACCCCTGCTCGCCTCGCCACTCGCCTGGGATATTCTTTGCTTCGCCAGATGATCTCCTCCGTGCTACAGCTACTATGAACTTGCTAACAACCAATTGCATGAGTGCTTCTAGAAAATGGGGTCAGTGAGAACGTCTTGTCTTGTGTGAGGGAGTGAGTTAGAGCATGCCATTCTTGCGGTCGAATTAACGTATAGCATTGGGATTTGCCCTCTAGATTGTTCTGATGTGATTTAGTCTGCGGTTAGCATGCGAATTAAACTAGGTGCAGATGAGCTAACCATGGACCATTAAAAAATTTGACCACTGCATTTGCTGCATATATCAGCATATGTGCTAGTCACCTTTTTTTTCTTTTTTTTTAAAAGAAGGGTAACTGGATTTTAGTATCATCTACAGGTGTAATCCCGTATAGCTAGAGTGCGTGATCACATATCCTATACAATTTGATTTTTATGCATTGCCAACGGCTCCACGGACCAGCTGGTAAGGAGGTCCGGTCGGCACCCTCGTGTGCAGGGTTTAAGCCCCACGGGTGCGCTCGTTCACTGCTAGAGGTAAAAAAAATCCTCTTACCTGTTCAGCTTTTTCCAAAGCATAGGTAAATGAATCGGCTCACCACAGTCCGCCTGTCCAGTTTTTCTCAAAGCATAGGTAAATGAACCGCCCACTCACAAGGTAACGGACCTCTATGTGGGGGTCTACCCATCGCAGGCCGCGTTTTTTTTATGCACTCAGGCAACAATTCTGTACTTTTTTTCGAAGTACGGTGCATGAAACAAGGGTATATAGGAGTAGTTTTCTCTCACTAGACTAAACTTGTTTGTTTTGTGTGTCTTACTTTCCATTCCCACATTTGGGGCAGTGATATGGTTACTGAAGCTCCAGAAGTTTATTTAGTTCTGATATAATGCGCAAACACATTGGTGGGAATGTACAAAATGTTTGGAGCAGCAAAAGAAAATGGTTGGAATAGAAAAGGAAAGAAGATAGCCAACATTGCACTCAATGGTATTGCTAATAACTAGGAACAGTATATGGTGTGGCAGATTTTTCCTAACTAAATGCTATCTGTACCTACCCTCGTTTTAAACATGCGAGGCATGAAAATTGCAAGAACTGTTGTTGAAGTGCAGCACCATTTCTGATATTCTATCCTACATCTTTCATCAAAAGGTGTAAAGGTGAAAAAGGCATGATAACACGAAATCTGAGCACTCAACTTCTCCGTCCTATCTAACAACCCCCCACCCCCCACCCCCCCACACACACACCACCACCACCACCACCGGGTCGAGTTTTTTTTACATATACAAAAACACATGGATATGAAGATGTAAACTAGTCAACAATTTCTCTAGCTATGATGACATAAATGAGGAACGGTCTTTACAAAAAAAAAGTTGACCGGATTGAGGAACATGGAATCCTTGTACAGGGTATTGTTAGACTTGGCAGACCCCCTGCATTTCTACTTACTATTCTAGCAATGATTTGCTGGTTCTGGACATCAAAGTTTCAACTTCCTCACGAGTTCAGTAAGATGTTTTTCCATTAATGTGGAACACATTGGGAGGGGAAATGAATCATGTTCAGAGCTGCACACTTGTGAAATAAATAACTGATTGCCACCATTGGTTTGGCAAAAACGAAATAATGGAGTAGATAAGAAAGAAGATAATGGTCATATGATGGCATATTTGCTCAACTCTATGCTGTTTCTCCTGAGCCTCACTTTAAATACCCAAAGGCATAGCAATTGTGAAGATTAGAAGTGTGGACACCATTTTAAGTATTCTATCATGGACTTTCCATCAGAAGGTGTAAAGGTGAGGTGACATGATAACAGAAAATTTGAGCACTCGAATCCCACATCCTATCTAAATAAATACCCCTCCATATATAGAAGATCATATACAACAACAACAAAACATTTAAGTCCCAAACAAGTCGGGGCAGGCTAGAGCTGAAACCCAACAGAAACAATCAAGATTCAAGCACGTGAATAGCTGTTTTTCAAGCACTCCTATCTAAGGCTAAGTTTTTAGGTATATTCCATCCTTTCAAGTGTCCTTTTATTGCCTCTACCCAAGTCAACTTCGGTCTTCCTCTGCCTCTCTTTACGTTACTATCCTGGCTTAGGATTCCACTACGCACCGATGCCTCTTAAGGTCTCCGTTGGACATGTCCAAATCATCTCAACTGGTGTTGGACAAGCTTTTCTTCAATTGGTGCTACTCCTAATCTATCACGTATATCATCGTTCCGAACTCGATCCCTTCTTGTATGACCGCAAATCCAACGCAACATACGCATTTCTGCGACACTTATCTATTGAACATGTCATCTTTTCGTAGGCTAACATTCTGCACTATACAACATAGCAGGTCTAATCGCCGTCCTATAAAACTTGCCTTTTAACTTCTGTGGTATCTTTTGTCACATAGGACACCAGATGCTTGGCACCACTTCATCCACCTTGCTTTGATTCTATGGCTAACATCTTCATCAATATCCCCGTCTCTCTGTAGCATTGATCCTAAATATCGAAAGGTATCCTTCCTAGGCACTACTTGAACTTCCAAACTAATATCTTCCTCCTCCCGAGTAGTAGTGCCGAAGTCACATCTCATATACTCAGTTTTAGTTCTACTGAGTCTAAAACTTTTGGACTCTAAAGTCTCCCGCCATAACTCCAGTTTCTGATTCACTCATGTCCGGCTTTCATAACAAGCACTACATCGTCCGCAAAAAGCATACACCAAGGGATGTCCCCTTGTATGTCCCTTGTGACCTCATCCATCACTAAGGCAAACAGATAAGGGCTCAAAGCTGACCCTTGACGTAGTCCTATCCTAATCAGGAAATCATTCGTGTCTCCATCACTTGTTTGAACACTAGTCACAACATTGTTGTACATGTCCTTAATGAGCCCGACGTACTTCGTTGGAACTTTATGTTTGTCCAAAGCCCACCACATAACATTTCTTGGTATTTTATCATAAGCCTTCTCTAAGTCAATAAAAACCATGTGTCGGTCCTTCTTTTTCTCCCTATA